GAGAGAGAGAGAGAGAGAGAGAGAGAGAGAGAGAGAGCAAGACTAAATAGAAAGAGAGAGAGAGAGCTGTTGAGAACAGAAATTATTTGCCCCTAAACATTTGTTTAAACAACTATAATATCAATGATATTAACTTGTGTTGTTGTCTTTTGTTGACAGACCAGAACGAGTGTGCTGTGAAGAACGGAGGCTGCGAGAAAGAGTGCGTGAACACCATCGGCTCTTTCCACTGTCGCTGTCCCATGGGCTATGAGCTGAATTCAGACAACAAAGGATGTGTCGGTCAGTGGTCACTGTCTGCTTCTTTGTCCGCCTATCTCGTATTGTATGATATTGTCTGTCGGTCTGTTTGTGCGTGTGTGTTTGTTGTGTTTGTCCCTCTGCCTTTTTGTCTGTTTGTGTATGTCTGTCAGTCTTGTTGAATATTATGATCACTGTAATCTGGTCTATCTGCCCGTCTCTTCTTGCATGTTCCTGTCTGTCTCTATATCTGTATGTGTTATTGTCTGTCTACCTGACAATGTACGTCTATATCTCTGTTTGTCTATCTATGTGTTTATTTGTCTATGTGTGCGCCTGTTTCCCAGTCAGTGTGTATGTAGGTCTGTATGTTTCTCGTGTAGAATAATATTATGCTCACTGCCACACTCTGTCCGCTCATCTCTTCAGTCTGTTTTTCTAGGTTCATGTCTTTCTTTCTATCTGTCTATCTGTCTGTCTGCCTGTCTGTCTGTCTGTCTGTCTGTTCGTCCGTCTATCTGTTAGAATGTCTCTCTGCCTGTATGTGCGTGCTTTTCTGTCTGTCTTTTCTTTGAATGTTACTTTCTGGTGACACCTCTAATCTTCGAGACATGTATATATTAACCTACTTGCTTTGCAAGTGCCATGAAACTCTTTCTAAAAATTAAACTGAAATGTCTGCAGATGTCAATGAGTGTATTGACCACAACGGCGGCTGCCAGCACAAGTGTGTCAACACGCACGGGGGGTACCGCTGTGACTGCCCTCGGGGTGAGCGGCTCCACGCTGACGGAAGGACGTGTCTTCGTGAGTACTTGTGTGCTGCCTACTTCTTATGTTGGCTCACAACACTTGCCGGTTGTTAGCAAAAAGCTGGGCTTACCTGATCATTTGTTTTGTATCATAATGTGTGTTTTTTTTTCAAATCTGGGTTTGGACGAGTTGTGTCAAAGTGCGAGAGAGAGAGAGGGAGGGAGAGAGAGTGGGGGAGGGGGTTAGGCATATATAAGTATATAATTGTATGAGAGAAGGAGTGTGAGAAAGAGAAATGGGGAGGGAAGCAGTGAGTGGTTTGTTGCATCATTAATCAAATAATGTCTTTGCTTCTTAATACTGCTAACAATGCGTGGCTCTTTTAACTAGTCTGTCATCAGTTATCTCATGATTTGCTAATGGATACACACTTAACCCGTGCACTAAAAGCGTTGTTTTTTCTTTTTTCAGTACTTTTCAGTATAACCTTGCAGCTATTGTCTATCATTCTTCTACATTACTGAATGCATGCTTAATGTTATATTGTTATACAGAAGAAATATCAATCATTTTCTGGCATGTGTTTTTACGTCTAAGAAATATGTGTGTGCATGCAGTCAATTCAGTTTATTTTAGAAGTTGGCTTAATGCTCTGTTTTGCCGAGATTGAGAGACATGTTGTTGAAATTTAGATTCGTGATGGGCAATACTGAGACAAATTTTTGTGTAATATTTATTGAAGATGGTCACGTGTTATCATTGAACCAATTAAAATGGAAACTGGAAGAACGGGATCAACAGTAGTAACTGATGAAACAATTCAAACGGTAGGGACATATTTAACTTATCTTCTGTGGTGATGGCGCAAATGGCTAATTGTGGGTTGTTGTTTTGTTTTTTTTGTGTTTTTTTAGTTTGTTTGGTTGGGGTTTTTTGTTGAGGTTTTTTAAAAGGTTTTTTTCTTCTTTTTATTTTTTTTTTTTGGGGGGGGGTGTCCAGTCTGGCAACATACTTTAATTCCGCTCTGTTGGCTTACACTTGGTTTAGGCGTTATCCTTTATCGAAAGCGAAAGTAGTACCATGATAACATTCAACCAGGCAGCTGATCAAGAGCAAACTCTACCTTTATAACAGTTATTTCCTGAGGCTTTTCAACTACAATAGAACTGTTTAGTTTGCAAACTTCAAAAGAGCCAGCATGTACCCCTAACTGGATGAGATTGAGAAATAATACCATTTGGAAAATATTAGTAGACCTCCTGGGAACCTGAACGGTATACATGCACTCAAAAACCTTTCCCTTTGTCTCTAGCCTTACTGTCATCAGCTGAAATTCCAATCCTGGCACCCCCCCCCCCCCCAACCAAGCCCATTTCAATCAGTGTCCATTTCTCTCCCTCCCCTTTTCACCGCAGCGAACCAGCCATGGTCTCCCTGCTCCGCCTTTAATGCCAGTAACTACTCTGAAAATAGATCGTTGTTTTCACGTAGCAGATCTTCACGCGCTATTCCAAACCTAAGTACACAAGAATTGTTACTATTCACTGAAAGCCGGCTTCTGTTCTATTAACGTTCAATGTTCGTGGGTGCTTGTTCACACCGCTACCCCCGCAGCTACAACGAGAATAGTAGAAAGGGGCGGCCACTGAACAACGGTTCTCTGAACAAGGTGGGCATAGCTGTCGAAACATGGATAGTCAATCAACACGGTTATTGATTGTCAGTACGTCGCCTCTAATACTTCTAATAGATCGATCCAACTCTCGAGTTTCGATAATGAGAAGTCAACATAGAATCGGGTTGTCGATATCCATCTGCACATTTCGGTTAACCCTTATAAAAACTCTTGATGTCTGTAGAGAATGAAATAAAATATTTTTATTGAGGTGTTTTACGTCTTAATCTAGATCTTTTAGGAAGCTGGCTTCGACCGACCTAGTCTTAGAGGATCTTATGCGTGCAACAGAATATTGTCTAACTGCTACACCACAGACGCCGGTAAAGCTTTTGATGGCTGTGGAGAGTAAAAAGATGAGAATGATCATAAATTATACACATGTCACATAAACGCAAAATGTGCTGAAAATCTTCTTTCTATAGCCGAGATCAGAGCAAACAAACTGAGAAGTCCCCGCAGGCTATGACTTCATACAAAGCTTCCTGCCTTGTGATCCATGCGCTTGTTGTAAATCCTTTTGTAAGATGTAACGTGAAACTCTGTAGAGGGACTGATGCATTTAGTGACCCTGCTTTAATGTTGGTATTTTTTCATTGTTACAACCTTTCAAGGTGACCAAACGAGCTTGTTCAGTGGTTATGACGTTGCTTTATTTGAGTAAACTGAAGCACATCAACACGACATCGGTCGTGTAGTGCTAGGTGAGATGTTAGACGGGCAGACAGGAAGAACAAAGGGACGGTAAAGAGATAGAACCTACCCCTTGCACTTGCGAGAGACTCACCTATCGCTGCTAATTTGAGACATTTATTCATACTGGTAGGGTACACTTGAACAAAAGTGATAAAGAAAAGCTGGGGGGGGGGGTATTGACCGTGTTATATGCCGATTAGCTTATGCCAACAGTACCCAAACCACTTTGAACTGTCATTGAATAAGCGGCCAAATAATGTGTGCATCCAACCTGGACATTGTGTTGGAGACAGGCATATATTTATCATTCCAGGTTCAGAAATGACCTTGAGTTTTGAAAGGAAACGAAAGAGAGAGAGAGAGAGAGAGAGAGAGAGAGAGAGAGAGAGAGAGAGAGAGAGAGAGAGAGAGAGAGAGAGAGACTGCTGTAAACCTAGAGCAGTGCATTCGCCATCCCCGCCTGGTGGTAGGATGTGTAGGTTTTATGGCAGGTGTGCCCAGCCTCCCCACAGACGTCTATTTACGAGGTTTTTATTCTCTCTTTATATAAAGTGATGTTATTTCTGAAACAGACGAGAGTCCAGCATGGTTTTTTTCCTAAATCAATGCTTGGAACGGGTCGTAAGACGAACGATAAAAGCCACCGTCTATCATTAATTGAAGATACACATGAATTAGCCTATTATATCCATTAGCTTTAAGAATCAGCAGACTCAGAGCGGACGTTACTACTGTATACCCTTAACAAGAATTGCTAAAAAAAAAAGTAGTAATTGTAATGTTTTAGTGTTGTTGTTGTTGTTTGGGGTTTTTTCAGTTGTTGTTGTTTTGTGGGGGGGGGGTATTTGGGGGGAGGGTTGTTATGTTAAGTTTATCCTCACATAATTTGATCTCAGTATTGCCCATACTACGAGCTGATTTAGTGCATGAACCCTGTACTCGTAAACATGCTACAGAGCATGAAGAAATGTCTTGCCAGCGCATAGTGCAGCAAAAGCAGGCAGCAGACGCCCCATGCATGTAGAACATTTTACACACAAGGTGTTTCTTATGTTTGTAAACCAAAGATTTGAGCAAAGAAACATCGTCAGCCATGGGGGTGAGAATGTAAAAAGAGAATCTCGCTTTACTCACATCTTTTCCCACCTGTGATGCTTCTTCCAAAGTGGACGCAGAAGCGTTGCTCTTTCAGATCTAACTCTTGCGTGGAAAATGCGTTTGATTCCTTCTTTGATCAAAATTATCTCTTCTTTAGCTTTCTGAGCTTTTGGAATACGAAAAGTGTTTGGATTTTTTCGGGGGGGGGGGGTCTTTTGCATCTACCCTGACTACTATCATTAAAAATCTTTGATCTTACAACTGCGCTAGTTTATTGGATTGTCCCTTTCAATCTCATGCATTGTATATACAAACGATAAAGTCAAAGTGAAAGAAGAACAACAGGCAAAAGCTCACAGCATGGGGTTGGGAAAACGAAGAGTTGCTTACTCCATGTTTTGCCAGCTTTTGCTTAGAAAGTATGGAATGTGTATTCTTTTAATTAAGCATGGCGTAATTATTCTGTGAGTTGGCTTTATTTCAGCCTGTGCTTCTATTTATAGATGCTTGCCCATGTATAAAATATTCACCTCAGCAATTCAAGCTCATTATTTCCACAGCGAAACTGCTGTACGGCGAAGGTGAATTCGATGGAGAACACAATATTTTGCCAATTTTCTAGTTTGGGGGTTGTTTTTCTTCTGTTTTTAAAGACATTTAATTTTTTACTCCTATATATTTATTATTTTCCCTGCACATGTTGAGAACTGTAATTAGGAGAAAGAGAAGAAGGAGGAGGAGGAGCGTGACTGCTTTCCCGGCTCCGTTCTTCCAAACCCGCCCCGAGAGCAGTGTACACGCCACCTCACAGTTCTCATTCGATTATTATGGCACTGTAGCTTAGCTTGTTCAACACTCATAGCTATAGCAAAGTTCGGGAATCGGTGTTTACTGAAAAAGACTTGAACCGCCCACCTGAAAAAGCCACTGCACCCCTCTCCGTTTTCTTTTTTAGACCTTGACTTTGTTCTTCTCCCTCTCTCTCCCTCTCTCTCCCTCTCTCTCTCTCTCTCTCTCTCTCTCTCTCTCTCTCTCTCTCTCTCTCTCTCTCTCT